CATTTAGCTATAAATGTCTGTAGTTTCTCGTTCTTTATGGCTGAGTAGTGCTCCATTTTATAAAAAAACCCACTTCTTTATCCAGTTCCAATTCATCATATTGACATACTAAAGTAATTGAGCCATATAATTTCAAGTGATACAGGAGGGAGGTGGGTGGGGAGGGGAAGAGGAATAAAAAAAATTGAGATATATGATGTATATGTACCTACTCCTTAAGATCAATGTAAACTTCAGGTACCATAAACATGTACTAATAAAATAAAAATTTAAAAATCAGGTGATACAGAAAAAATCTGACAAAATTCAACCTCAATTCATAATTTAAAAATTACACTCAAGGAAACCAAGAGTAGAAAGAACAAAACCTCTTTTAACCTGATATAAAACATCTACAAAGAAATCCCTACACTTGAGACAGGTATGGTGGCACAGGCCTGTAAATCCAGCACTCAAGAGGCTGAGGCAGGAGCATTGCTGTTAGTGTGAGGCTAGCCTGGGCTACAGAGTGAGTTCAAGGCCAACCAGGACTATACAGTGAGACCCTGTCTCAAAACACCAAAGAAAAAGAAAAATATCTCTAAATATTAGAAGATTCTTAATAGAAAAAATAATGCTTTCTTTTTAAGATGAAAAATGAAGCAAGAATGTCCACTCTCACTTCTACTAGTCAACATTGTGTTGGAAGTCACAGTCAGTTTGATAAGACAAGAAAATTAGATAAATGGCTTACAGATTACATAAAGAGACCCTGACTCAAAAAAAAATTCTAGGTTTGAGCTCTTCATCAGTTATATGTGCTTCCATTATCTTCTCCCAATATGTTATTTTCATTCTTGTTATGATACTTTTAGATAAATAGATATTCTTAATGTCATTTCATGTTTAAAATTTTCATTTATAGTCAATGTCCTTGTGAGGAAAAACTTTTCTACTATGAGTTAACAAAGGTTTTCTGCAGTTGGGAGTGTGGTAGAATGTTGGCCTAACTGGTGTGAGGCTCAACACAGCAAAAAAAAACTTTAAAAATTCTATGATGTTGTATTCTTAAAGCCCTTTGGTCTTACCTTTCATATTTAGGTTTTGAATAAACCCAGGCTTATTTTTATTTGTGTTGTGAGATAGAGATCCAATTCCTTCTTTTCCACAATGGATAACCAGTTTTTCTATTTAGAAAAGGTCCAACCATTCTCCCACTGATCTACAATACCCTTTTGGTCGCTTATTTCATATCTACATATGAATGGGTCTGTTTCTGAGACCACCAGTCCTTCACTGGCCTATTTGTCTACTTTTGTAGCAACATCACACCATTTTGACTGCTATATTTTTATAATAAGTTTGGGTGTACAGGCTAGTCTTGGCATTTCCACATAAATTTAAGAATTTGTCAAAATCTATACATATATACTGGAATTGCGATTGGATTTTCACTGAACCTAAAAAGAGTTTAAAGGATACTGACAGATTTATCACCTTGACCCTTCCCTTCAAAGTATATGTGAATCCTGAAATACATAGGGAGACCCTATCTCAAAAACCCCAAACTGAAACCAAAACCAAACCCAAAAACCACCTTGAGGAAAATAGGTATAAAAGGATCTTATCTCAATCTGATAAAAGCCATTTATGACAAGCCAATGACCAACATCATATTAAATAGGGCAAAGCAGAAAGCTTTCCCTCTAAAATCAAGTACAAGACAAGAATGTCCACTATTACCACTCCTGTTCAATATAGCACTTGAAACATTAGCCAGAGCAACCAGGCAAGAGAGAGAAATAAAATCAATAAGCACAGGAATGGAAGAAATAAAATTATCATTATTTTCAGATGACATGATCCTCCACATAGAAATAAAAAAATTCAACCAAAAGACTTTTAGAATTAATAACCAAATTCAGCAATGTAGCAGGATACAAAAATCAACACACAAAAATGAACAGTGTTCCCATACACCAAAATTAATCCACTGAGAAAGGAAATTAGCAAAACAATACCATTCACAGCAGCATGAAGAAAAACTAAATACTGTACTTAGAATTCAACCTAACCAGGGAGGGGAAGGGGAAAGGGAAGAAGGGAAAGGAAAAATTATGAGAAAGAAATAAAAAAAAAGGAATCAAAGTCTGTGTAAATAGGGAAGGGTGGAGGGGGTGAAGGGTGCACAGGTAATGGGAGAAAAAATAAGAACTAAGAAACATCATGTTCAGGTACAAACACCCAATGATAAATGTAA